TGGCTCACCACCCCCGCTCTCCCCTCCCCAACCTGGGTCATCACCATCTGGGGACAACTCTGTTTCCCAAACTGGACTGTCAGTCCCAGGAGGGCAGGGCCAGGCTGACTTGATCATTGCTGCTGGCCACAATGGGCTGAGGAACATGTGTTGAGTGCCTGCACTGAATGGGGGTGCCGAGCTCACCGAAGGTCAGTAGGAAGCCATAGAGCATGCTGAGCACCCAAGAGTACCAGCCCTTGTGCTCCAGATACAGAAGGCTGTAGACAGCGTAGCAGCCCAGGAGTGGGAAGAGGATCCAAGACAGGTACCGAAACGCCATCTGTGGGGTCACAGGGCGGGGCTATGACCCAGTTCCTCGGGCCCCACCTGGCATCTCTGCTCCCCACCCTTACCCACCCATACCTGGTCTGGAAGGCCAGGCCAGGGGAATTTCCAGGTGGCTCGGGGAACTCTGGACTTGACCAGGAAGTAGTTATGGCAGGCAGGGGACACAGAGGGTGCAGCACAGATCATAAAGCATGGGCCTGGCAGTGGCAGGCAGATGGCATGACTCCTGGTCTCTCAGGAGTGTGCGGATACTTAGAGACCACCCCATGGGGCCCACTGCAGGGGACACTCACGTCATCATACACTTTGGTCGAGGACTCAATGTATGTGGACTTGTCTTTGAAAGTTGGGCGGGGGAAGATTCCTGCCACCTTGTGCTCCCGGTCCAGCTGCAGATGAGGAGGGATGCCGTGGTCAGCTGCTGTGCTGGCTTCCGCCCCCCCATGCCAGAACCAGCCCCTGCCCTTCCCCACTGTTCCCAGTTCCCCTGCCCCACGTGTGACCCAAAAAATCCCCTGGCGTGAAAATCCCCAGTCCTACAAGTGAGGCAGGCATTGGGAAACCCCCGGGGGACAGCTTCAGGGCAAGTCAATCCCCCTCCCCACCTCCCTGCAGCCCCAGTAGTTATGGCAGGCAGGGGACACAGAGGGTGCAGCACAGATCATAAAGCATGGGCCTGGCAGTGGCAGGCAGATGGCATGACTCCTGGTCTCTCAGGAGTGTGCGGATACTTAGAGACCACCCCATGGGGCCCACTGCAGGGGACACTCACGTCATCATACACTTTGGTCGAGGACTCAATGTATGTGGACTTGTCTTTGAAAGTTGGGCGGGGGAAGATTCCTGCCACCTTGTGCTCCCGGTCCAGCTGCAGATGAGGAGGGATGCCATGGTCAGCTGCTGTGCTGGCTTCCGCCCCCCCATACCAGAACCAGCCCCTTCCCTTCCCCACTGTTCCCAGTTCCCCTGCCCCACGTGTGACCCAAAAAATCCCCTGGCGTGAAAATCCCCAGTCCTGCAAGTGAGGCAGGCATTGGGAAACCCCCGGGGGACAGCTTCAGGGCAAGACAATCCCCCTCCCCACCTCCCTGCAGCCCTTAAGACAGCATGGCGCCTGCCCTTACCCGGACATCCATGACCTTGGTGATTTTCCAGAGGTCGATGAGGACCCCAATGAAGACGCTGACCTGGACCACAAAGTTGGTCTCATTGTCCAGGATGTAGAGGAGGACCACAAAAGACTGGAAAACGCCGAAGAAGACGGAGCGCACAGACAGTCCCTCCAGGGATTGTCGGCTGTTCCAGAACTGGATATCTGTGTGTGGAAGTTGCGGGGAACCAGGAGGTTTAAGAGCCTCTTAGTCTCTTCCTGCAGCCTCCTCCGACCCCCTGGATGAGGCTGGGTTTTCATGGAAGAGGGTGAACACTCTTATCTCCCATGAAGACTCTCTCATTCATGGGCACCATGCAGAGCACCAGACAGGACCTCTGTGGTCCTCACTTGGGATGTGAGCACCCAGAGTCCAAGGGGACGGTCCCTCTACTGATGGTGACACCACTCTTATCTCCCATGAAGACTCTCTCATTCATGGGCACCATGCAGAGCACCAGACAGGACTTCTGTGGTCCTCACTTGGGATGTGAGCACCCAGAGTCCAAGGGGACGGTCCCTCTACTGATGGTGACACTGGCCACTGCCATGGATGGGTGCTTACCATGTGCCAGGTACTAAGGGCTGACCATGGAAGCTATTTCCCTGAGGCTGCATAGCCTGGCCTGGCACTATCTGGACACACACTGGGTCTGCACCACACTGTGGTGCCATCCCACCTCCCCTGGTCAGGGAGATCTGGAGCATGTGTTTCAAGACCACCTCCTTCAGCCCCCCCACCTTAGCTAAAACCATGAAGGGACTGGCCAATGGACATCCTTTCGGCACAGACAAGAGGCCCGGGCATTGATCTCCAATCTGGAGCTCGTTCCAATGTCCCACCTGGATGCTGCCTGGGGGACGCAGGTCAGCCATGCCTCTTTTTAACCCCTGGTCTCCCCAAGAGTAACCTTCTGACCCTAGCAGAAACTGAGTACCTAACAACTGCAGCCATAGGAGACCGGCCCACCACCATGCCTGTCTTACAGTGGCGAAGCCAGGCCCATGGTTGCACAGGGTCAGCTTTGCCCTCAGTGAGCAAGGACTGTGAATCCAGGCCCATCCACCCCAATCCCAGGGCTCAGCACATTCGAGAGGCTCACCCTGGCCCATCGGACCACCCTCAGTCCCGATCGGGAAGAACAGGTCTGGACACAGGGTTCTGGTGGGGCGGGTGGATCCAAGTTCCCCCTCAGACCTGGGAGGCAGCACAGCACAGGGTCACTGCTGTGTGATTTTGGGCAACTGACCATACCTCCTCATGCCTCTTTTTTATTGGAAAAAAGGGACACTGGCTGATCCAACTTATGGTCAGCAGAAGGGTTTAGTGAAATGGCGCCTGCCCAGGCACAGTGAGTGCTCCAGATATGACAACTAAAGGACTTCCTATCGGTGCTTAGCACCAGCTACTGTTCAGTTCTGATGTTATGTTCTTCTAGACGGTAGCTCTCAACAATGGTACTATCATCTTAACAATAATAATACTTATGATTCCTGCCACTTCCAGGAGATGCAGGGCAGCAGGTATCCTCCTTTAGACTGGGATTCTCTGGGGAAGAAAGTGACACACAGGGCCTAGAAGATACAGGTGGGGGCCAGAACTGACAGCCACATAGGACCTGTGTGACTGTGGGCAAGTAACCTAACCTCTCTGAGCCTCCACCTCCTCATCTGTAATGGAGGGGTAACCACAGGCTCCTCAGAGGTTGTGGTTGTGAGGACTCAAGGAGCTAACTGGTCAGGGCACCTGGGACTATGCCTGGCCTTAGAACCTAAGGGACTTTGGGGCACAGACTTTGGGGCCTTCCCTCTTGGCGCCCAGTCCACTCAGCCCTGAGGGGCCTCCCCCAGCAAGCAGCCTGCCAGGCAGGGCGGTAGGAGAAGCTCCGGGGCTTCCCAGCTCTTGGCTTTGGAGTTCCCCAGCCCAGCTTCCTGGTGGTGCCATCAGGCCCGAGCAGCAGGCCCAGCCGCTCCCTCAGTTCCACGCCCAGTGGATGGGAATTTCTGGGTTGGGAGTTCTGGGGTCGTTGTCCCTCCCCAGCTAGCTAGGCCTCTGGAGAGTAGAGGGGAGAGACCCGTGGCAGGGGGAGGACATGTGGGACAGGAGAGGAGAAGAAAGGGGGTGGGGACAGGGTCACACCCCTACCGTTCTTGAAAGCCAGGAACTCAAAGACACTGTGGACGATGGACACGATGATGGTGAGCGCCAGAAGGTAGGGGTTGGTTTCCAGGAGGGCAACCTGGGGGCAGGGGAGCCTGTGAGCATTATCCTGCCCTAGCCCGAGAGTTGACCAATGCAGCACCTTCACTAGCTAGCCCCCTCTTCTCCCAGGACACACTGGCATGACCTGCTGATATCCCCCCCAGACTGCCCTGGGGCTGCCCAGAGGACAGCCAGTCAAAGATGGGTGGATGGGGACAGGGAGGAGAGATGGGGAGCAAGGAATAGAAACTCAACAGTGATGGGCCGGCCTGATGGCGCACTGCTACAGTGCGTGGATGGGGACAGGGAGGAGAGATGGGGAGCAAGGAATAGAAACTCAACAGTGATGGGCCGCCCTGGTGGCACACTGCTACAGTGCGCTGCTTGGGAGTGCGGCAGCGCTCCCGTCGAGGGTTCGGATCCCACATACAGACCGGTTCCCGCTCACTGGCTGAGCGAGGTGCGGGTGCAACACTGAGGGTTGCGATCCCGTTGCCGGACACGAAAAAAGACAAAAAAAAAAAAGAAACTCAAGTGATGCTGTACAGCCCCAGACAAGCAAAGCTGAGTCTCATATCACAGACACAGGCAGAAAGATGGAGATATGGGAAGACATTTAAGGATGTAGAGAGAGATAGGGCCGGCCCGTGGCTCACTTGGGAGAGCGTGGTGCTGACAACACCAAGTCAAGGGTTAAGATCCCCTTAGCGGTCATCTTTAAAAAATAAAAATAAATAAAAAATAAAAAGGATGTAGAGAGAGAGCAGAGACATGGAGTCAGAGCCCAAAGTCAGGGAGACAAGGTTTGGGACAGAGGAAGGAAGGGGCGAGTTCGGACCCAGAGGGCTTGGCCAAGCAAACAGAAATGCTGCCACAAAGAGGACAATAAAAGCCTCAGAGACAGGGTCAGCCAGGGCTGGAAGGCTGAGCACCCATTTCCTGCCCACTGTGGGAAGGGGACCTGGGAGGTTGTGAAACTGTGGGCAGGGGAGTGCTAGGTGGGAGGTCCCACTGCAGCTGCCTGGCCCACTTCCCCTTCTACAGCCAGAAGGTGCTGGAAGCCCCTGCCCCGCCCCCAAGCGGCGCTCACCTTCACCGAATCCTGCTCCTCATCTGACTGCTCATACAGCTCGTCGCTCAGGAAGTTCCAGGGTGACTTGGTGCTCTGGGCAGCATAGAGCTGCCAGCGCCAGAGCGAGAGTGGGCAGAAGGAGACACGGAGCGGCAGGCTGGCCAGGCTCTCGTTGATGGGGTAGTAGTCCTTCTGCAGGTTCCAGTAGTCGTTGAAGTAGATGATGGGGTAGTAATCACCACTCACGGCATCAAACTTCACGTCTGCAGGAAGATGGGGCATGGGGCACCACTTAGCCCAGCAGGAGACCAGAATGCCCATGAAGCCCCCAGACATCTGCAGGGAACTGATGGGGCCCCTGACAGAGACTGGGGTACAGGGGACATTTCTGGGCTATGAGGAGCTGAAGGGCATCTTGACTTCAGTGGAGGGGACCAGGTGGAAAGGGTAGACAGGCCTCAACTGAAGAGGCCAGCTGCGGCTCAGCTCCAACCCACGGCTGCCCCATGAGTCCTGGTTTTATAAAGAAGCCAGAAATCTGGATTTTTCAGTGGTATTGCCTCAATTTCAAAAGTTGGCAACTGATGTACATTTTTTGAAAACAGCTTGTGGGCTGGATGAGACTTGTCTGTGGACCAATTCTGGTGCATGGAGGTCAGTCCTGGGGTCACCAGGGGAGTGGAAGAGGGAGAGGAAAGAAGAGAAAGGAGGCAGAGCACTGCAGGAAGCTAGCTTGTGGGCTGGATGAGACTTGTCTGTGGACCAATTCTGGTGCATGGAGGTCAGTCCTGGCGTCACCAGGGGAGTGGAAGAGGGAGAGGAAAGAAGAGAAAGGAGGCAGAGCACTGCAGGAAGCTCAGGAGGAGTGGAGATCTAGAATGATCTTTCAGGGGGACAGGGCTAGGAGAAGACAAGGAAATGGGCCCAGAGCACACTCCCTGAGGCCTCCACAAGCTGCTGGCAGAGCTGGGGGGCTTACACTGGTCCAGGGGAGGGGGCACGCTGCCCTTCACCCATGGCGTGTGGTCGTCCACAATATTGATGGTGATGTTGGGGTGCCAGTGGGAGATCACCTCCACAGGCCCGTAGTCCTCGGCCCTCTGAGGGAGACAGGGGTGGGTCTCAGAGGCAATGGAATATTAACCACTATAGTGACACTGGCCAGCCCCACACCAGCCTCTATGGACTCCATTGCCCAGGATCCTCCCACCTCACAGAGCAGGAGGCCCACAGAGCTAGAGGCAGGACCTGGATTGTGAGCCAGGCTGCAAAGCCCAGCCTCAGGACAGCAGCTTCCACAATCTTGCACCTCCATGAACAGGGACCACCCTTCCCGCCCAGGACCACCCACTGACAGAGGACGGCTCTTGTGCCATTCCTGTGTGCCTGCCCTGTGCTGGGCTGAGCCCGATCTCTGAGGCCTGGCTGTTTGGGTGTGAATCCCAGCCCTGCCACTTCCTGTCTGTGAGAATTCTGGAAAGTGTCCTCATCTGAAAATGGGACTGGTGACCCCCTCCCAAGGCTGGCGAGAGACTTATGAATGAGTATGTGTAAGCACTGGCTGTAATAATCTTGTCTGGAATCCTCCCCAGACCCTAGAGGCAGTTGCTTCCTAACCCTGTTTCCCAGAGAAGGAAACTGAAGCTCAGGGAGGCTAGGTCTGTCACCATCACCAAACCACCCACTGACGCCCACCAGTGGCTTGCTGATGGTGCCAGAGGAGGACCCCAGTGGTCTGGCTGCTGTGCTATGAAGGCCCCAGATGGTCCCTGCAGGACCCAACAACCCTGCTCAAGTTTACCTTGATCATTTCCGGGTCAGCTTCTGTCTCTCCAGTCAGCAGGTTCTTAGTTTTCTGAAATCGCCTGCGCTTGTACTTGTTGATCACTGTGGGAGGGGTGTTGGGGCAAGGGGTGGACATGAGACCTGCTGGCACCTGCAGGGTCCAGACACCAGACCTCTGCCCACCAGCAGCTGCCCACTGGTCTCCTGCCTTCTACCCTTCCATTCCATTGCTGATAATGTCACCTCAGCTGCCTCTCCAAATCTCAGCCAGTCCCAGTATCCCCATCTTTACAAGGACACCACCATCCACCAAACTGCCCCAGGCAGAAACCTGGAGTCTGCCTTCTGGGGACGCCCCCTCCACACACTCGTTAAATTCCACCACTCATCCCACTTCTGATCTCCCTCCTGGATGGGTGTGGCCACACTTGCCCACTATGACCTTCTCTGATAGGGCAGCCAGTGGTTCTTTAAAACCAAGTATCTGATGTGGATCCTGCTGTGTCAGAACCCCAGATACTCACCACAGCCCTGCCTAACTCCCAACCCTCACCACCTCCCACCTCAGCCCACCTCACTCCTCTCTCCTTGGGCCCTTGGACAGCTCTGTCTCCCTGGAACGTGTCCCCCTGCACAATCTTTTTTCTGGTGGCTGGCCAGTTCGCGGATCTGAACCCTTGACTTTGGTGTTACAACACTGCAGTCTAAATGACTGAGCTAACTGGCCAGCCCTCCCTACATAATCTTCCTGGTTGGCTCCATTTCAGCCCTCAAGTCACTGATTAAGTCCGTTCTTTCACAGGGCTTCCCTAACCACCCTATGAAATGAAAAAGCCTACCCGGTCACTCTCCCCACCAGCTTTACTTCCTTCACAACATGTCATCACTATCCACATTCGCCTGTCCACTGGTTTACTTGTGTACTGTCTGCCTCAGCCAGTCTGCAAACCCCATGCAGGTAGGGGCCGAGCCTGTTTTGAATACTGATGTAGCCTCTGCATAGGCTCACTGACAACCGGTTGAATACATGACTAGAAAAAGGTGGGCTGGGGACAGTTCCCAAGGCCTGGAGCCATGAACATGAGAAACCAGAGTGAGAAACACTTTGGGACTGTGACTCCCAAGCCAGGAGTGGACCTTGCTTCTTGCAAGGGCCAGTTTGGCCACAGACTCCCTGCCACTCTGTCCTGAGTGCTGCCGAGACGTACCAGGAGAAAGGGACATGTGCTTGCTTATGCTCCATGCCCCCACCTCTGCCCTGGCCCACATACTCTTTAGCTCTTCTTCATGCTGGGAAGGAACATGGCCTGCCCCTCTCGTGACTCTCCATCCTGCCCCCAGGACCAGGGAGAGATAGGAAAATGGGAGAGAAAGCTGGCCAAGAAGCAAGAGCAGGGGCTCTGTCTCCTACAAGTTAAAGGACATTGGTGAGTTACATTACTTCCCTGGGTCTCCATCCCTTCTATGGAGACTGGGGATAAAAGCCCTACTTCTTCTTGGCCCAGGTCCTGTGAAGCAGCCCAGAGCCGGCTGCTCTTACAAACACAAACATCATCCTCATCATTTCTAATATCATTAACTCATGTGAGACCTTGTCCCCAAGTTTGGGGAGACCAGTAAACATCCAAGAGAGCCGGCTGCTCTTACAAACACAAACATCATCCTCATCATTTCTAATATCATTAACTCATTTGAGACCTTGTCCCCAAGTTTGGGGAGACCAGTAAACATCCAACGGTGGGCATCCTGGAGAATAAATTCCAAGGGTACATGCTCTGTGGCTATTCACACCTGGGAGAGGTGATCCAGGGAAGGGAGGAGTGCTGGTGCCCAGCACAGCCCCAGGGGCAGCCTGGGCTAGTAAAGGGGGAGCACAGTGGTGAAAGGCTTTGGCTCAGGTACTTGGAGGCATCCAGATGGGATTATGAGGTGGACCTGGCTCCCATGGGGGAGGGAAGAGCCCACTTTTCTCGCAAGTGAAGCTTCTACAGCTATACTATCGAATATGGGGTTGCTGGTCACATATGGCTGCTGAGCACTGAAAATGTGGCTGGTCCAAATTGAAATGTGCTGTGAGTGGAAAACACACTGGATTCTGAAACTTGGTGCAGAAAATAGAAAAGAATGTAAAATATTTCACTTTCTTTACATTGATTGCACAGTGTAATATCAAAATATTTTGATCTCAATAAAGTTAAAATTAACAGGGGCTGGCCAGTTAGCTCACTTGGTTAGGGTGCAACATTGGTAACGCCAAGGTCAAGGGCTTAGATCCCCACACTGGCCAGCCACCAAAGTAAAAGAAAAAATTAAGATTAATATTAATTTCCCCGTTTCTCTTTACATTTTTACTTTTTATACTTTACTCTTTTTTACTGGAAAATTTTAAATGATTTCTCTACCTTATATTCTATGTCCATGAGACAGCATCGCTCTCAAATACTGATTACTGGCCTTTTCGGGAGGAAGGGGGCTTTTCTGATGCCACGCTCTCCTTTGCCCTGGAGTTGGTGGTTAGCCAACTCCAAGTCCTCCCAAGTCCCTGTTCTGAGGGGCCCCAGCTCCGAGGCTGGTGAGGGAGGCCTAGATGATCCTGGTGGACTTTTCAGGTGGGCTGGCTACAAATTTGATTTTGTAGACCACACTAACATCTGTCACTTGATGGTGAACAGAACCTCACCACACACCTCACAACACAACCACACTTCACAGACAAAGATCACATTCACCAGAAACAAAAACCACAGAAAATGCTGGCATCAATCAGGGGCAACAGAATGACCACGTGACCATCAAACAGGGTCAGTAGGACACAAACGAACAGCCACCCACCCAAGTCACATTCAAGGCAACCTCTGAGGCATCAGGCAATTTAAGCTGGACCCCTGCTGCCTCCCACCTGCAGGAACAACACATCCTTGGGGACCATCCCTGTAGGAAACATCCCCTCAGGCCACCTCTGCCAGCTTCTTCACAGATCTCACTACAAGGAAGCCAGCTGAGTGGAACATCCTACAGACACACTAAGAGAGGCGCTCGGCAAACTGTGCAACTTTTCCAACTCAGCTTTAGGGACTGACACAGTATTACCAAATTTACATTTCATCCAGTATAGATGATAACAACAACAACAACAAAATTATCATCCTTTAAGATATTTTTATACCAAAAGAAGAAAGACAGACCTAACCCCCACACATGGAATTACGTCTGTTACTGTGCCACACAAAAACAGCTGGATGGATCTTAACACAGGGTATGTGTGGAATAGTCCTTGATAAAATAAAATTCACTTTAGAAGAATGGAATACCTTCTGAGGGAACCATTCTCTGAATCTACTGAAACTTGGGTATAGTGAGAGATTTCTATGGCTGTCAATCAGGAGACAGCAAACTCAAGGAAAAGGTTACAAGAGCCAGGTAAGCAAAAAGACAAGAATTAACCTACTGGAAAACCAGAAGGTGGGTAGGAGAGGAAAAATAACTGTATTCACTGTGTGGTTTGTATGCGAATAACAATCACATATTTAACACCAAGGTTAAAGGTTCAGATCCCCACACGGGCTGGCCACCAATCAATCAATCAATCAATAACAGTCACATACTCAAAAGTATTTCAGCACTGAGTGTTAATATAATTGAAAGTATATTCCTGTACTGGGATTTCCTCTTCCAGAGTACAAGGTCACTAGATAACATCTAAAACCAAAAAAACTATTTCAGCACTGAGTGTTAATATAATTGAAAGTATATTCCTGTACTGGGATTTCCTCTTCCCGAGTACAAGGTCACTAGATAACATCTAAAACCAAAAAAAACAAGAAATTGTGGCATCAACTTGTTAATGAGAGCTGTGGAAGTTAAACAGCAGAAGAAACAGCTAAATGAATTTGAAGGTGGTTGCCACAGGGAGCAGGATGGGAAGTGGTGGACAGGAGGCTGCTGGATTTCACTATCTTGACAAATTATTTGAATTTTAAACCATACACATGCAGTAAGAGATTTTAAAATTATTTAACAAGATGATCTGGGTGGAGAAAACTTGTTTCAATACAAGGCCGGATTGGAAGTTACAAATGTCCAGCCCTGACCCAGGGCTTCATAAGACTGCTTGAAGGTCCCAGGGGTTTGTTCACCCAATCAAGATTCTCCCAGTGGGCACCTAGCACAACCCCGGCAGCCAGCCAAGATGGAGACAGCGAACGGCCCTTCAAACAGACGATCTCATCAGTTATGTGGTCCTCACCACCTTGCCAGCATCAAGGAAGAGCACTGCTCAGACATGTTCATCCAGCACTAATGGTTCACAGCAAGCCACAAGGGACCCATCCAAACAGGCCACCTGGGAACCAGGTGCCGTTCCCTGAAACAAATGTACAAACACCTACTTTCCCAAAGGCAATGAGTTGATCCAGTGCCCCCATTCACCGGGTCTGAACTAACACAAATACCATTAACATATCACAACCTTGATCTTGAAGGCCCTCCTGGTTTCCCTCTGCTCATTTAATCCAAAGTTCATTCACGAATTATTTTTGGTGTCTACTTCTATCGGGCCCTGTACTGTGTGTATAAGCCAAGCCTGGCCCTTCCCCTTTTGTGAACACCATCTTCTCCTCTTCAAAAGTTCTTGTCTCCACCTGCTCTTCCCAGCTGATTCCTCTCAAGTCTCTAAGCCCTTCCTCTGTGGGTCTGTCTGCTGGGTATCCAAAGAGTTCAGAAAGGGTGGGTAGAGCTTGAGCCCAACTGAGCTAACTGGCCAGCTCCTCATCCCCCAATCCCAGCCTCCATGAGTGCAGGGTTCCTGACTGCCCTTCTGGACCTGGGATTTACTGTCTGCCCCACCAGCCCGGGGGGTCCCAGGATGCCGGCACCCTAGATGGTGTGTCCTGGCTGCAGGGGAGCGACTTACTCCGGGACATGTGGACTGTTGCAAGCCGGCGGTACAAGGCCTTCTGCCGGGGATCTGGATGGAAGCCACTCTTGGTGAAATAGACATGGATGTAGATGGAGCCGTTCTGCTGGACGCTCTGTAAGAGAGGCAGGCAGGTGGACAGGCAGGCCAACCAAGAGAAGGAAAGGCTGAAGCCCCACACGGCCCCTGCCCTCAGCAGTTTCCACACCCCCCAATTCCTGGGCTGTTTATTGACTGCTCAGGATGGGGACTGTAGCTGAGTGGCTTAGAGCCAAATGTTGGAGTCGGAGACTTGCATTCAGATCCTAGCTCTAGCCTGTGATGGCTGTGAGCTCAGGCTGCCTCTCTGTACCTTAGTACCCCACCTGGAGGATGCAGGGCTCCAGAGCACTGCACTGAGAGCAGTTCTGTAAGGATTATCAGTTCTGTAAGCACACTCAGCATGGTGCATGGCACAGAGGAAGAGCTCAGTCAACACCAGAGGCCTTCAAACACTAAACAGGAAGCTGAGGCCAACTAACATCAAGCTCTTACTATGCCAGATTATGCTCTGGACACTTCATATAGCAACTCCCTGATGCAATGAGGTACCATTCAGATAACACATGTAACTCCTATGCAGCGGGTCATGTTACTACCCCGTTTTGCAGATAAGCCAAACAGGGCTCATGCAAAGGGGTTACATGACATGTGGGGAGTAAGTGGATGGACAAAGGCTGCTGTCTCATGCCTTCTGCCCAACCTACATGCTCCATGTCCCAGCTCCAGCTGGACCCTCCCAGCCAAGCCTTTCTCATATCATCTCATCAACTCTCCCTGCCTCCTGGGGAAGGGGGACTATTCTCACTTGATACAGATGAGGCAACGGAGGCTTTGGGAGGGGAGGTGGATTGCCCAAAGTCACTGGGTGGAAGGCAAAAGCCAGATTTGAGTCCCCTCTGTTTGATCTTCAAGCAGTGATCAGATTTACTCAGCCTCTTTGTGTCCTCCTCACTTTCCTGCCTTTTAAGTCCAACCCCGGCCCACCCTGAAGCTTCAATGGAAGTGATGGCCAAGTCCTCACTGCCAGGCCTGCCAGTCCCTAGGCCTTCCTTGAATCTTGGGCCAGGGTCTCGGGAGCCAGCCCTCAGTGAAAGTTATCTTCTTTGCTTTAGAAAGACTGTGTTGAGCTGGCCAGTTAGCTCCGTTGGTTAGAGCAGGGTGTTATAACAACAAAGTCAAGGATTCAGATCCCTGTACTGGCCAGGCCCCACCCTGAAAAGAAAGACTGCCCTGCTTCCAGACATCTAGACAGAAATAAAGTAGAAATGTCCCCTCCCCTCCTAGGAGGCTGAAGAGAATGCCTGCTGGGGAGAAAGAAATGAGGGCAGCCTAAAAGCCCCAAAGAGATGTGCTTCTCACTTGTTCCACATTTGTTGATTCTGCACCCAGTCCCATGCTAGGCAGTGCTGGCAACACAGAAGTGACCAAGACAGCCCCAGCCTTACCGTCAAAGGGCTCATAGTCCCATGCAGAAGAGAATGAGGACCTGCCCTCAGAGAGTGAGGACCCAGAGCGACAAGGCTGGGACATGGAAGCCACTCAGGCTGAGAAAACCCAGTGAGGTCCTCCTGGAGGAGGGAGGATTTGAAGCTGGGACTGCTAGAGTACAGAGCCAGAGAGCTTGAGTTTGAATCTCCCACTAGCTGTGTGACCTTGGATACATTACTTTACCTCTCTGTGCCTCAGTTTCCTCATCTGTCAAATGGAGATAATAGTAGTTCCTACTTCACGGGGTTGCCAGGAGATTTCCATAAATCAGCCTAGCTTGGTGCCCTGCACATAGTAAGTGCTCAATCAAAATTAACTAATATTATTTTGAAACTAGGCTGCCTGAAAAATTGGTGATAACTGGACACCCCTAAAAACGATTATTAATCTTTCATTGGTTTAAAGCACAGGGCTGGACAACCTTGGAGGTAGTTGCAAGATTCCCGGGCCAATTCCATCCCTATCCATCTTTTTCAGACGGGGGAAGGTGAAGCCCAGACCACACAGAACAGCTGAGCTGAGGGCAGGGACAGGCTTGAAGCCTGTACTTCTGATGCCCAGGGCTCAGAGTGGATTGGAGGAAAGGCCCTTCAGTATGAGTCAAGCAGCTATGGGACCAGAAACCAGGAACTGTCCCCACCTGCGGGATGTCGAGCTCAGCAAAGTGCTCGTAGCAGCCGTCTGAGTTCTCGCCGCTAGTCCAGTCGCCATACACGAGGTCATGCTGCTCCCAGAAGAGTGCTGACGTAGCATTGAAATCTGTAAAGTGCTCATGCTCTGAGATATACACGTGCAGGTTCTGTTGGGAGGGGAAGGTACAGAGCTTAGGGCTGCTCATGAGAGCCTCTGAAGGCTGACAGATAAAGAGCCGATGAAGAGCTGTGGCAGTGGTCAGCACACTGATATGAACAACTTTTTTGGGTGCAGGTTCTGTTGGGAGGGGAAGGTACAGAGCTTAGGGCTGCTCATGAGAGCCTCTGAAGGTTGACAGATAAAGAGCCGATGAAGAGCTGTGGCAGTGGTCAGCACACTGATATGAACAACTTTTTTGCAGGGAGGGGGTCGGTTCAGTGAAGAGAGGTGTAGCAGTTGATAGAATAAATTTTCTCTTTTCTCGTATCACCACCATGTCTGTCCTCGTCTGAGCCTGTGAGCACTTGTGTCAATGAGCAAAGGGCACTTGAAACAAATTAGAATTTAGGGGCAGAAAGGAGCAAAGTCTTCCTGAATTATCTCCTCTCGTATCACCACCATGTCTGTCCTCGTCTGAGCCTGTGAGCACTTGTGTCAATGAGCAAAGTCAATGAGCAAAGGGCACTTGAAACAAATTAGAATTTAGGGGCAGAAAGGAGCAAAGTCTTCCTGAATTATCTCCCCCCTTCTTAGCTGCTTATGGGCTTCCTGGTCAGAGCTCGGCAGGCTTATGGATAATGCACTGTCAGGAGCTGCAAGAGTGTCGTGTGACTACTCAGAACCCAGGGAGCTTTGGGGAAGAACTTCCTGGCCATCTTTGTCCACAGCCCTGAAGGCCCACTGAATAAGAACAGCTGAGCAGCAGTCACCCTGATGATGGGAATTCTGTGAAGCACAGAAGCCCAGAGCTACAGAGAACTGCAGAGGTGGGAGAAGCCTGGATTGCTGGGGTCTGAGTGCTGGCTACCGAAGCTCCTGAACCCCAGCCTGAGTCCCACTCTGCCACAAAAGTGTGCTTCCCCCTCCTTCCCGTGCCTCTGCTGGCTGCACCCGTGCCCCACCTCTCCTTCTCCCTCCCCTGCATATCTCCTTTTGCAACCTTAAAAGGCTGAACCTATTTTTGAAATAAAATATCCAAGGACCCTGTTAGGATAGTTTTTAAACAACTGAGTGAAACCTGCCCATTCCCCAAAGAGAGAACCAGCACAAAACCGAAAGAATTCACTTTTTCCTTCTGGGTGTCACTCGGGCAACATGTCTTATCTGACCCAGAATTCTTCAACCCCAACCTGTTCAGAGCTGACAATGACTAGGGACCTGGTCTGTCCCAACTGCCTGTATCACTCCTCCACACTCCACCCCTCCACCCCTAGGATCTCCTGTTTCTGCCCTCCCACCCAGCAGTTACCATTAAAGTGTCTTTGGGGAACAGGTTGCGGCTGGCGACGCGTGGGGCTCCTCCGGGGCCTGTCTGGTCCTGAGGGGCCGGCCCTCGGCGGAACCAGCTGCTGATGGCCCAGATGATGAGGATTCTGAGGAAGGAAGTGGGCAGGTGGTGAGTCTCCAAGACTCTTCTGTCCTCCATGGATCCACCTGACCTCCTTCTGACTAGGCACCCTCCGGGGTCTGACCTGGGGCTGGTGACCAAGTAGAGGGGAAGGCCCTGAGAAGGTAGTCATGGGGCTGGGGAAAAGACAAGTGCCCCTGAAGACCATGTCTGTCTGGGGAGAGACCTCAGATGCAACTGTTCGCCAGTGTGGGGGTCCTGGCACTGCCCTGATCTCCACACAGAACCTCCATCCTGAGTCCTCCAGGAGCTCCTGGTGGCCACAAGGCTGCAGAGGCTTAGACCCTCAAAACCTCAGACCTGGAAAACCTAATGTCATAGTCCCCTGGGATCCCCAGGTGACAGGATCCTAATGAACTGAAATCCCAACATTTAAAAAGCACAGAACTTTATAGAAAGAGCAACATTTTCTAACTTCAAATCAACTAAAAACTGGAGAAGCAGATAGTAAGTTAATAGCCCCTATTTTTGTAACAGGGCTAGGTTCTTCAGACCAATTCTCCCATTGGAAAAAACTAAAAAACTTCATAAAATTAATTAATATACCAGGAACATATTGATACTTTTTTTTTTTTGGTGTGAAATCCAGAAAGGAACCACATATTGATACCTTTTATATATGTAATTATATATATTGATATAGTAAGAATATATACTGCTCATATATTTTCATATGTGCTCTCTTACACATAATCTTTATCCAGCTTACATATAAACATATGTAAATATATATTCTTAAAAGCACTGAAGAATGGGGCTGGTTCGTTAGCTCAGTTAGTTATAGCACGGTGCTGATGACAAGGTCCAGGGTTTGATCACTGTACTGGCCAGCTGCCAAAAAGAAAGGACTGAAGAATGAACAAGATTGTAGATTTGTCAGGCAAAAATTGAATGGAAAATGGAACCCTAAGGAAGTAAAGGAGCAACAGAAGCTTCTTTATGTTTCTGAGGACATCTGTGAGGTGTTCCATGTGACAGAAATGCTAGCCCAGGGCCCACATGAGGTAACCAGAGACCTACTCTTAAAAGGACAAGACCCCACAGGGCTCCACCCTCAGGAAGGAGGAAACCAGACACAGCCTAGCCCTTCCCAGGAGTTGCACACCAGGTAAGAAGGGCCAGGTATGCAGGACCAGGTGTGCACACCAGAAATGGATGACCACTGCTGGTGCAAGGAGTCACGCAGGGCAACTCAAGCTTTGAACCTGGTGCAAGGAGACGCCAGACTGATAATGTCCGAAGACAGTTGGCAAAAGCAAAGCAAATTCTCTCTGTAGGAAATTATGTCCATCTTTGAACTGAAACTTTTCCTATAAATAACTTTTCAAGTATAATGACTAACACATAGCCAAAGACAAGACAGGCACACCAGGAAACAAGATGCTAGGACTGCGAACCAGCAGAAACAAGACACCAAAAACAAAGTTAGATAAGCTCAAAACCACTGAACTCTGAAATTTCAGAATTTGAGTTATAAATTCCTCAAAATTTGCATCACGAGAGCTTCAGAAGTACCCTTAGTCAGAATAACATCATAGAAAAAAAACAGAAATAAGGGCCAGCCCATGGCTCACTTGGGAGAGTGCGGTGCTGATAACACCAAGACCACAGGTTCGGATCCCATATAGGGATGGCTGGTTGTTCACTTGGGTGAGCGTGGTGCTGACAACACCAAGTCAAGGGTTAAGATCCCCTTACTGGTCATCTTTTTAAACAAACAAACAAACAAAAAACCAGAAACAGAAATCACAGTCTCTTAGTTAAAACAAATATATATATTTTTTTGTCCTTTTTGAGACCGGCTGCACTGCGCTCAGCCAGTGAGCGCGGTTTGCACCGGTCATCCCGCGGCGGGGGAGCTGCTGCGCTTGCATGGGCTCGGCCCTAAAACAAATTTTTATTTTTTTTTATTTTTTTTTATTTTTTTTTATTTTTTTATTTTTTTATTTTTTTATTTTTTTATTTTTTTATTTTTTTATTTTTTTATTTTTTTATTTTTTTATTTTTTTATTTTTTTATTTTTTTATTTTTTTATTTTTTTATTTTTTTATTTTTTTATTTTTTTATTTTTTTATTTTTTTATTTTTTTATTTTTTTATTTTTTTATTTTTTTATTTTTTTATTTTTTTATTTTTTTATTTTTTTATTTTTTTATTTTTTTATTTTTTTATTTTTTTATTTTTTTATTTTTTTATTTTTTTATTT